GACTCGATAGGTGGATAAAAATGCCAGATCCAGTCTAAACATCTGGCTGACCGTGTGATCAACAATAATAATAATTTATTAAATTTATATGCGCCTGACTCCCAATTATTCTAGGCAGCTCACAATTGTTAGAACATTTAAAAACAAAGAACACCCACACAAAAACAGCTTAAGACAGAAGGACATAGATGGCAAAGAAAATAAACCCAGAAGTGAACAGAAAGAAAGAAAGGAACATCAGTCATCCTCTCCAAAGGGTGAATATATATAACATCCATATAAATCCACTGGGTAAGTTTATCCATCAGCATGGGGTTAAGTATCATCAATATGCTGATGACACTCAGATTTACATCTCTAGCCCTGCCAACCAAGTGATGCTGTCAAGATTTCTCTCAATGTCTGGAGGCTGTAGGGTCTGGATGGGGAAGAACATAGCAAGACTGACTGTAGGTTTTAGCCCATCGCCTAGATCTGGGGATTTTTCATAATGAATTATGGATGGGGTAGCATTCCTCCAGACAGAAACAGTATGCAATTTGGGATCCTCCTAGACTCTCAGTTCCTCCTGAAGGAGCAGGTGACAGCTGTGGCCAGGAGGCCCTTTGCAAAAATCCATCTTGTGTTCCAGTTACTCTTGTTTCTAGATTGGGAGGCTCTGCTCATGGTTACTCATGATTTAAATACCTCCCATTTGGACCATAGTAATGAACTCTACATGAGGCTGCCCTTGAAGACAATATGAAAACTACAACTAGTCCAAACTGCAATAGCCTGGGTAATTATGGACATACCAGGGTATGCCCATGTAACAGCATTTTTTTAATGAGCTACATTTGCTCCTATTTGGCTTCTGGAAGCAATTCAAAGTGCCAGTTGTCACTTACAAAGCCTTTCATGGAACAGGAACAGGTTATTTGTGGGACCACTTATCTCCAATTATCTTGTCCCATCTCACAAGAGCCAACAGGGCAGATAAGCTCTGGGGCCCTTCTGTTAACCAATGTAATCTGATAGAACCTAGGAAATATGCTTCTCCATTATGGTGCCTCCCCTGTGGAACAGGGGCATCCTTTAGACCAGTGTTTCTCAAACTTGGCAACTTTAAGATGTGTGGAATTCAACTCCCAGAATTCCCCAGCCAGCATGAAACACTTCTTTAGACTATTGATTCATATTCTTGAGAGTCAGCTACCATAAGTCATCAAAGCCATATTTCCACTGAATGAAGTCCAAAGTTGCACAAACCACTCAGACAACATTTCCAATGACTCTAAAACCTCCTGGCATAATCTGGGGTTCCTAAGTTAATTACTTTCTTCTTACACATTTTTACCACATTTTTTTTTAAGCAATGTGGATTTCAGTGCAAACACTTGGTGGCAGTGCTGTTCAAATATTTGTGTGAAGACAAATCCTAACCTTCAGAACCATCAGGAGTTTTCCATGCACTGCAGGAGGATGCCAGGAAGGCAAGAAAGTAATTTTACTGAATGCATTATATTCTAGATCAGATGAGGTCTACCAAACCTGGGCTGCGGAAAGCTGAACACCCAGCAAAGAGATCTGGCACTCCTAACTTGGTATACCCCTTAATTAGAGCATGTATCACAAGCAGAGACCAAAAGCAAGTGGTGGAACACAAGAAGAATAGACATTACTGTCTTTGTATGGAGTTGTTTTTGTTGTTTTCCTGCAGTGGCACTTGTTACTTTAGCCTCAGCTTTCCCATGTGAACCTTTGTACTGGATGCAAGATTAGATTAGAAAGAAGAAACCTTAAATTGTGGACTGAATTCAGACACAGCAAGATGAGTAATTAAAGCACTTCCTATCACACAATGAAAATATTAAAAGTATTGGTGCATAGGTACATCCAAGTTAGTTTTTAGTTTTTCTGTTAGCCAAGACTAACTGCTGCTGCTATTCTTACAGATAATTTTCAACTTTCAAAGACATTTGCTATGCTGATTTTAATTTGCTCACATTTTCTTCACAGCTGCAATTATAAGTTTCACCTATTTTTCTGTATGGAGTTTAATGCTCACAGGAAAAAGGGCCTTTCCTGATCACTTGAGGTTGTTGTTGAAAAAAACTATGTTAAGTGGGATGTTTGTGTTAGCTTGACTCGAGCAGCCGCAATATAATGTTCCAGCTCTGAGCGATGGAAAGGACTGGGAGCTTGCCACCAGAGTTGTTAGCCACATTCATCATCTGTATGGTAGCATTCACAAGGTGCAAAGAAAGAAACTAGTGAAGAAAATGGTGCAAGAGGCTTTCAAGAATTTTTTAAAGGCTACATGAGTATAATAATTATAATCACAGATCTCTCTCTCTTTCTCACACACGCACGCACACACACGTGCAACATTGCAAGAATAAGAGGAGAGCTGCTATATTTTTTTTGAGGATAAAAGCTCAAACTAGCATCCATACTACCTTAGTGCAGAAATCAAGATCAATTATTTCCTCTAGAAGCAAAGTAGACTTGGAATTCCCTCCAGAAGTTTCCTTCTTTGCCACTGGCTGCATACCTTTGAAACCTTCTGTGGTTTTCTTCTTTACAAACAACAAATATTGTGTTCAGACTCGACTTTGATTATGATAGCTGAGTTCAAATCACTCACTAAAAAATCACTGCATGATATTAGATTTGGCAAAATGTCCCGTGAGGCTAGCCACATCATGGAACCCTGCTGTGGCTAAAAGGGAAAGGGAAGCATTGTGCATCCTTGCTTAAGTCCTCCAAAGACAGAGAACAGGACCAATTTCAATATATTCTCAGTATAAATACACATACTGTGCCTTCTCAGTAGCTACACTGATCCTGTTGGTCTTCCACAAAGGTGTAAAAACCTGGGTCTTTTGTTAGGCTTTTGGGGTAGGATAGAGTGATCTGTTCCTCAAAGGTAGTTTTTTTTTGTCAGGAATACGTTGGAATTGTTATCTTCCCCAATGTGCACCATGTACTCTTTTGGTCTTATTTGTTTGTTTTTAGCTGTTATTTATCTGATATTTTTAAACCATGGTGTAAACCACCTAGAGTCAATCTGTGACTGAGGTGGTATACAGGTTGACAAACGAATAAAAAAACGTTGTCCTCAAACTCACACTGGCTTGTAGGTTAGATATGTCCTATCTACCAAATAGCCTTATTAGCCTTCATGGACCATTGAAGAAACATTTTTGATCCACTTGAATATACTGAGAAAGAAGATATGAGCCCATTTCTTGTTTGGAAGGAGAAAGGAAAGTCAGCTATTTGTAGCTGCTGGAAAGAAGGAACCTTGTGGAGGGAATTCCAAGTGCACCCTACTTCCCAAGGGAAATAATCTATTAGACAAATAAACATTTAACATTTGTGTGTATGTGTGTGTGTGTGCCTTTAAGTCAGCCTTGATTCCTGGTGACTGCCTGGACAAGTCCCTGCAGTTTTCTTGGCAAGATTTCAAAAGTGGTTTGCCCTTGTCTCCTTCCCAGGACTGAGAGTGAGTGGCCCAAGGTTACCCAGTTGGCTTCGTGCCTAAGGCGGAACTAGAACTCTCCCAGTTTCTAGCCTGGTGCCTTAACCACTACACCAAACTGGATCTCTTAACAGTCATTACAATCTCTTAAAGAGAAATTATAATGTTTGCAAGAATTTCAACGAAGGGGAATAGTTTGGCTATTCTGGTTTGTTTTCAAATATTATTCTGAAGAAATGGTTCTACTGTTAGTATTTCAATGGTTATATCAGAACCCATTTTAGTCAACATATTTGTACTAAAGTCCATAAATCACTAAATCAATTAATACTCCCACTTCTAGCAGCAAGATGTGGTATTGCAAGAGCCTGCAAAGGTAATCTCCCCAGCAATTGCTATCCAGAGAGACAATACTTTTCAGAATAGAAAATGCAAAGGATAAGAATAATAAAGAACTGCAGGATGTTTTATAGGTTGTTTTTTATTCAAAGAAAAGAATACAATAAAAGTCTAAACTGACATAAAAGATTTTGAACTATATCTTTGAAATTTCTTTCCTTTCTTATTAAAAAAAAATGATAGGCTGAAAAACTATCAAAGAAATAAATGTACTACTACATACATTTGTGTGCTTGGAAGAAATCCCTAGTAAAGTCAGGCATGTTCCTTTTCCAAGGACTCAGAAAACTGCAAAATTGGTATGGATGCTACAGTCATGCAAGAATGCAAAGGAAGTTTTCTAGGTTTGAAGATAGATAGAGCATAGTTGATAAGGCTAACTTGTCTTATTCCTCCCTCTTCCTCTTCCACAAAATGCAGAAAGGACGGACAAAGACATCTATGGGAACAACAGCAGGGGGGAGGAGAACTATTTCCATCCTTTCTCCCAGCTGTGGATCAGTTAGAGACACAGCTTCTAAACTTTGACTTTCCAATAGTAAAGGTCTGGGATTATAAAAGGCTGAACTCCCCTGTGCTTTGATGGATTATGAAGGCTGAACGCATTTACATGCCACATTTGATCCCTACATGAGGACTAAGAAGAATTTGCGGTAAAAATGACACTACTTCAAATTTTCATTTGATGATGAATATTCTGTTTATTCATTTACTACGTACATGTTATCTAAATATGGCTGTATTAACATTTTAGAGGTTAAAGGTTCTCCAGAAATTGATATGTTGTCAGTATTTAACAGCATCTAATACGCTGGTGACATGCAATGGCTGTCAGTATACAACATAACTTGGAGAGAAAAGGAAAGAAAATTAAGCATGTCATGGGACAATCTTGGATGGATTCAGGGGGGACAGAGATCCACCCTCAGAGACTGGTGAGAAGAACTGAGGGGCACACTGAGATGGGATAGAGAACTTGACTGGGCAGAGGCTGCGGAGGGCATTAAATTTAAGGTGGTAGGCTGGAGGAAATGGGGAGTATGTTTGGTTGATGATTGAATAGAGGCAAGGTTGTCTTTGAGTGGATGATATTATATGGGAAGTATGTACAAATGTGAGTCTGCCTTTTTAAAATGATCTAAGTGGAGAGTGTGTGTAATGGTGGGGAGCCTGAAAGAGAGACAAAGCATGCACCTTTTGTTCTGGAAGCGTGAAGGGAGAATTTCTGGAGAGTAATCCTCAAATTTTTGGAGAGTAATCCTCAAGGGAGTAGAACTGTGGATTGGAAGGAATAGTCTTGTCAGTTTGGAAGTCAGATCTCACCTTTCCTTCATTCTCAGAATCCAGGGCAAATTGTTTATCTTTTACCCTCACCAATTTGCTTTTTTGTATCTGGGCATTCTTCTGCAGCAGCCATTTTGTGATGGACCAGATAAGCTTCCCAGATGGACTTTCCAGTCTATTTCTATTTGACATTCTATTTCATTAAAGTAATAAAAACCAGTTATTTCAACATTTTTTGTGTGTGTAAAATCCAATTTTACAACAACTATTTTCAAAATTTAAAAATTTAAAACAACTGAACACAATTTTTTTTTAATTGACTAAATCTGCTAACACTCTAGGGAAAGGCATTCTTCCCATTCCATTTTAAAATGAATTACTGGGATGAAATTAGTTTTAAGAATTGAAGGAGCCTGTAAAAGTAAAGACATCAAGTCACCCAGAGTCCCCTGTTGTGGGGGAGATGGGCAGGGGAGAAATCCAATAAATAAATAAAAATAAATAAATCGTGATAGGGTAGGTTATTCTTTGTAGACTTCTGGAGAATTTATGTATGAAGAAGCATAAAAACTAGTGATTGAATTAAGTTGCTATAGATGTACAGTATGTGACTGTTCTTAAAACCATATGAACAAATTATTTAATATGAGCCTCAGTTCTGACAAAAAGATGTAGGGTAAATGCTGTTCTCATAAAAAAATAATGCAATTTTACATTTAAGACTTTGTGGAATTCAGGAAACAAAACAGACTTGTAAGATTTGTGGAGGCCCTACCATATTGATGGAATGTATATCAGCAAATTTGCCCAAATTTGCCATCATACTCTATCGATGCAGCTATTTCCAGCACACTTCCAGGGAATTGTTTGGCATTCCCATATAAGTCATTTCCTTGCAAGGCCCACTTTTCTTGAGCTGCAATACAATAAAGAGTATGGTTTTGCCATGTGTGACATTGTGTCCTGTTGCTAAGGGATGATGGATAGGTTACCTCTGAGATTAGGACAGGATGAGCAGAAAGGTTGGTGAATTTAGGGCCTCAGTTTCTATGGGCTGAGCAAGCAAGCTTTTTGAGGTACAGAAGTGAGATACATGTTTCTGCCAGGATCCTGAGGCAGTCAGATTGGAGTATGTAATGGGAAGAAGAAAAATGGAGGGAGATAAAGAAAGAACAATGGGACCTGCTGGGATCTGCCCTGCAGAACTGGCCTATCAGGGACCATAGAACCTGGTCCCTCAGTTGCCAGAGCAGTGAACCAAAAAGGATGGTTGGCTGGGCCATGCAGAGGTCAATTTATTGTCTATGCAGTATTCTGATAAGTACAGCTGTGCCAAGCTATGGATTAATATCCCTGCCTCCCACCCCCACCCCATTTATCAAATGTCCTCCATTTGAGCTTGAGTTGGAGCATGCTGGTCTAAGTCCATAATAAAGTCATATTCTTCTTGAAATCTTTTCTGTAGAAAACATGTTTTCCACCCAGGCAGGAATTCAGACAGTTTCTGAATTCTTTGCATGTGTGTTTGGGTTTTGGAGTTGGAGGCAAAAACAAAAACAAAAAACAAAACAAAACCAGTTTCATTTGACATGGGCTCATACTGCTGAGACATGACAGCATATGTTTATATATGTATTCCAGACCTGCAAACTACTACCACTACCCCTTCCACCCTCTGTTTCCCATTTCCTGCTTTCCATCATCACATCTCTTGCTTGCCTGGCCCTATTTATGCTTCACAGACCATGGAGGAAGCTGCAGTCACTGCCCATCTCTCTGCTTTAGTTTGCTTTGCCTCTCATTTGTGTGGACTTTTCCTCTCAAAATGGATCTCCAACCTTTATCCCAGGAGGCCAATGTGTGTTCCTTGAAGGCCTCCTCCCTTTTGTGTCCTGTGCTGCAAAAGAGTGGCTGGGAACAAGTACAAATATCCAAAGCCTGGTGGAAGGCAGTGTGATGGTTGGGATGGGAACGCTGTTCTACAGTCATTTTATATTTGTATGTGCTGATCCAAGAGCGTCCATTCTCATTGTCTCAATTCCTCATGGATGGTTTTTGACAGCATTGTTTCTGTATATTCCTACATTTCTTTCCCATTCCAGATTGATCCCTCCTAAGTTGCAACAGGTGGCTGACTCCTCAGTCCAAACATTTCATTGCAGATTTCTCCAGCCTGTTGTTATCCAACGTCTTGCACTGTTGCCTTTAGCCAGCATTGTCAGCTCTCACAATTCTGTTTACAAACATAAATGCAAAGAGAAACAGATTAACAGTCTACGCAGGAGAATGTTAATTTAATACTGAATGAATGAATATAATATAAATGCTTGCTTTTCTTTCTTCTTGTTTCACTTAGACCATGAAGAGGGTTGCCAGATTGATTTTCCCACTTATTCTTGTGCTGATCTGTGAGGTGAATGGACAGAGGCGTGTCAAGCCTCCAAAGAAGCGCCCAAGTCCTCCACTTCCTGAACCAGTTGAACCAACTGACTTTCCTCCACCTCTGCCCCCAGGACCCCCCTCAATTTTCCCAGATTGTCCCCGAGAATGCTTCTGCCCCCCAGATTTCCCTTCAGCTCTTTATTGTGACAGCCGCAACCTGAGAAAAGTCCCATTGATCCCGCCCAGAGTCCACTACGTCTACCTACAGAACAATTTCATTGATAAGCTCTCTGAAGAATCTTTCAAGAATGCTACAGGGCTGCGGTGGATCAATTTGGACAACAACCGCATTGATTCAGTGGGATCACAAGTATTACAGAAGTTGGATAGCCTTGTCTTCCTGTACATGGAAAAAAATCACCTTAAGGAAGTGCCCAACAACCTGCCTCCCAGTCTTGAGCAACTTCGGCTGAGCAGAAATCGGATCTCCAAGATCCCTGAAAATGTATTCAGCAAGTTAGAGCACCTCCTCCTTTTAGATCTTCATCATAATCAACTGGATAATGGAGACTTCAAAAAGAATACTTTCAAGGGGCTCAAGAACCTTATGCAGCTCAACCTGGCTCATAACCGGCTAAGTAAGATGCCACCTGGGGTTCCCAAAGCCATTCACCAGCTCTTTCTTGATGAGAATCAAATTGATAATATCCCCAACAATTACTTCAAAGATTTCGCCAACCTGGCCTTCATCAGGCTTAATTCTAATAAGCTGTCTGACAAAGGATTGCCTATGGACACTTTCAACATCACCAATTTGCTGGTCTTGCATTTGGCCTACAACAATCTCACCAGCATCCCCTACATCAGCCCCAAGCTGGAGCACCTCTACTTGAATGACAATTCAATTGAAAGTGAGTCAGCCCAAATCCGAAATTGATTAGACCTACAAGAGAATCTGTTTGTAGGGGGCGGGGGGTGGGGGTGGGAAGAGAGAGATCAGATCATCTCATATTAAAAACTCCAAAATAACTTACTTACATTGATGCTTCCAAGAGAACTTCAGTAAGACATCTTATTATCTCAATCTGTTTCTAAGTCATACTCCATGGATTCCAAGAAAATTATGAATTCCATCTTGTCTGAAGCTGTAACTTTATGACCATTAGGACAGATGACTGATCAGAACAGGGGGATGGGGGGTGGTTGAGAGGAGGCAGGTTGAGCAACAAATTGTCCTCTTCCATGCCCTAAAACTAAAGAAATATTTAGAACTTTGTGTATAATGAAAAGGAAAATTCTTTTTCTTTTTCTTTGACGTAGGGAGAGAGAGAAAGGGATGGAAAAACTCAATATCCCTCCATTCACTTTCTGCTCTATCAGTCTAGAGCTAATAAGTTTTAGCTTGCAGGACTGATTTGCTTTTCCAAGACTTTTCTCTGTGCTGAGAAAGCACTGCAAATCAAGGCAATTTTAAATGTTTGGGTGCTCTTTTTAAAGTAATCAGTAATTGTGTAAAGAAAGTATGGAGGGAAAATATCAAGGAGTTTTTACATTTTATATCTTCAGATATTTAAAACTGAGAATAGTTAATGCTTTTTTGTATTTGTCCATTAGTTGGAGTGCTGGTAAAGGGTAGGTTTGATCTCAAAGTGGGATGGAGTTGAGACACCCAAATCTCTTCTGTGATTTTTTTTTTTTTTTTTGGCCTATATTTCCCATACTACTGGGTAAAGCCTAAATCACTTCATAGATTAGTTGTTATCCTGCAGAATACAACAGCATAGTTGTAGAAAAATAAAACATTTTTCCTTCCTGTCCCCAGATGTATGTACAGAGGGAGCTCCCAACATCTGTTGCCTTAATTGAAAACATCTGTATATAAGAAATGCAGAATTCCTTCCAGAAATTCTTAACAAGGAAATAACAAAGGAAATAGTAAGCCACGGCACTTCAAACCAACCCCAAAAGCTTGGGTTTTTCTTTCAAGTTAAATTTTTGGCAACTCTGGAATGACAACCATGTAGGCCAATAAAATATCCTTATATGATATGCCTCATATAGGAAACTTCATTGGAAGTCTGTTTCTGGAAGAGGAAAAGATGAACTTGAGATTTTATCTGATGCCTTTTCATTCTAACATGGTAGCATCCAAGCTTCCACCCATCTTACAGTAATATACTAGGGCTTGAATCATGCTGTTACAGGTAATATTTCAGTAGGCAATTACAAAGTTCTTAACATCTTAAAATTGAAAGGACTGAACATTTTTTTTAAAGCAATCCAGATATTTCTGAGCATTAGTTATTCCATCTGAACAATAGGGATAAAACATTTTCTCACAGCAGGGATATTAATTTTTTAATTTTATTTTTTATATTATTGTTTTAATATACAAAAAGGGGAGAAGATTAGAAAAAAGACAAAAGACAAATAAGAGAAACAAAGGAAACAAAATAAATTTATTATATTACATAAAGGAAATCATATGGCCTAATTTTTAAACACTTCATTAAACCTTGACCACATACTGATCAGACTTTCTATTACATCAAAAACACTAGCTCATAAACAGAAAGTAACCATGTATCAGTGATTTAAGTTTGTACATCTGGGGTTGCATTGTCTTCCCAACACTGAAAAGTAATTCCTTTTACTGTCCCCCCCCAACCCCCATCCTCCACACACACACGCTGCTTGATAAAGCCATCATTCTTCATATAATGGCATGTCCCAGGTTTGGGGTGTATAATATAAAACTACAGTCATGTTGTACTGTATTGATCATTGCAACACCATATCGTAAACCTATGATTATTAAACCAAATTAGGAGAATACTGGGATGAGTCCATATCATATGATTAACTGTCCTCTCACCCATTTTACACTTCCAGTATAATGAGATTGACAAACAACCCCTTTTGAAACATTGTCTGGGGTGTCCAGTAGCTGTGAAAAGGAATATTCTGTTGAATTAGTCTCATCTTAAGATCATACAAAACATACTTAGTATCAATGACATAAATATAGTGAAGGCCACCCACTTTTTGCCCCATGCCTTTAGCAAAGCTGACTGAACAGGGCAGGACTATCTTGTATGTGCTGAAAAACCTGGATGGCCACTTAATGGAAGCAAACAATTAGAGTTTTCTGTTCCTCTTTGCTGTTGCGTTAAATGGTCATGCAGATTTTTGCAGCCCAGACACAGAAGCCCAAATGCAGGGCCCAAATAGGAGCTATACCAGAAGAAAAGCCATCTTGAAGGTAGAGAGAAAGGGGGAGAAATGGGAGAGCCACCCCACTGCTGCCACTTCCAACCCAGCTATTGTTCTGGAAACTATTCTTGGAAGTCATGGTGGCTTCCCCAGTGTTTGCTGCAGGCTGGTTTCTTCCTCTTCTTACTTCTTCCTCCTTCCTGCTTGTGAAGGAATAAGGAAAGAAAGGATAGGCATATCTACAGTATCTAGGCTGAAGAACTATATGAGCATCCTTAGCCAGAAATACACACATATACAAAAGGGTTGGAGCTTCATTCTTGACGCCATGATGCTGTCTTGCCGATTTTGATCCCCCAATCAAAATCTGCAAGATGGCGTTGTGGCATCTCAATCAGAGCCCCACCCCCATTGCGCACGGGTGTGCTATACCATCATACTGCTGGACTAAGGAACGTGTAACATGCCATCAGCTCAGGAAGCAAATAAATTTGACTTCTTCAATCAGGATGTTTAAGAAAGGATATAGAGGCTGCTTTGTATTCCCCCCTAAGTTTGTTAGGTGTTAGGAACTTTCCTAGGACAGGAGTGGGGAAACTGTAAAACTCCAGCTGCTGCTGAACTACACACTCTTAGGATCCTTCATTAGCTGTACTGGCTAGGGTGGTTAGGTGTATAGATTAGCATCATCCAAAAAGCTGCAGGTTCTGTGCCCTTCTCTCAGAGCCATGTTTCTACAACAGATGTCAGAAACTTGCAATTCTTCAAATGTTACTGACCCCGCCAGCATGCCTGTTGGTACAGCATGATTGGTGCTGAACTGTAACAAAGTCTGAAATACCACAAATCCAAAGAAATCTGTTAGCAGCTTTTCAGACTAACTCATATTAAAAGACATAAGTTTTTGTGAGCTACGACTCACTTCATCAGATGCAGGGAGTGATTAAATTGATGTAGGATTTAAATTAGAATGAGGTAGAAGGAGGGAAAGGGCAGGGTAGACAGACTGGTTATTCAGAGACAGGTTACGTGTGAGACAGATTAGCAATACTTTCTCAATTAACAGTTGTAATGTGTTAAAAACTTGTTGCATTTTTTGAGTTCTGAGAGAGCCTGATTTTTTTTCAAATGTGTGTGAGTTCAACAACCTCTTGCTCAATTATGCTGTTAAAAATGTCTTTTTTTTTCAAAATGGCTACTCTGAGATCCTAATGGTATGCCTTGGAGGATTGAAATGTTTTGATATCATTTTATGCTTGTTTTGATCCTGATGTCAAACTTGGGTCCATTAATTATTTTGTGCAAAATTTGCCCTGTTTGTTCTATGTAGAATCCAGAGGGGCAACACTGGCAGACGATGGCATAGAACACATTAGAGGAAGAACATGTAATGGTGCCTCTAATCTTGTGTGTGAAGTTGCTGGGATCTGTGATGGCACTATTGGTGCAAATGTGGGGGCAAAATAGACATCTGGGCTTGTTGCATGGTCTGGTTTGCATGGTAACATAATTGTCCTGTTGCTTCTCATTGCATGTGAGAATCTGCTTCACATTGGGTGGTTGTCTATATGGGGATATGAGCCTGCCACCCAGTGTCTGAGAAAGTGCAATGCCATTGTCCAATATAGGCTGTAGCTTATTAATAATGTGCTTGAGTGGGCCTTTTCAGTAGGAATTCTTGTCCAGTGGTCTATATTGTCAGTATGGCACAATCTTGCCCAATTTGGTGCCCTGCAAGTTCATTGAACTTCAACTCCATATTACTAGTCTTTGACCTTACTGATTAGGAGATTATACAATTTATCAGATTTGATAAGGATGATGTGGAAGGCTCAGATACCAGAGCTATCCAGAGGAGGTAATTCCTGATCCAGTTCTTGGCCTTCCCATCTGTCTCTTTCTCGTATTTTTGTCTCACATTGGAGCCAGTCAATGAAAAGTACTGATTGATTCCAAGATGATTACACCAAGGGCAACACAATAGCCCACTCAGGTTCTACAAGGGGAGCCAAGTACAAATTTTTGTGTTTTCAATATCATTCGCAATTAATGAATCTTCTATAAACTTTGAATATGTAGATGTGCATCTCATTATAACAGCATTCTAGTAGTCAAATATGAATCAAAGGTACACCTGAAGACAAGCATTCAGATAAGTATATTATATACCAGTTATACTTGTTACAAGTATTTACATCTACAGCCCATAAATGTTTTGTGTTTTAGGGTGAAATGCAAAGATGTGAACAAAGATGAGGTTACTAACCTTTCTTTCCCTCTTCATTCACTCTGTGGAGTTCTGCAGCGGGGGCCTTGGTATTCCTGAAAGTTCTGTGCACAATTTAGACTTCTAAGATATGTAGGAAGCCTTCATGGAAACAAAAGGCTTTGTATTACAGTTTTCTTTCAATGTGTATGTAGAGAGAAGGGAAGGGATAATGAAGATCACAGCAAAGAAAGGACATCCACTAGCTTGTTCATCCTTGGTCTTCTACACCTGCACTTTTATTATATCTTAAAGCAGCATGAAAACCTATAGCTTGCAAAGTTATAGAGAAGATTAAAATAACCATCCTAACAAATATAAAACATTCTTACAATTGCAGGTTTTCTAAGGGACTTTAGAATGTTGGTTTTATACTCATTTTGGATCTTTTCACATTTAATGTTATCCACTTCTGTGATGTAGATGCTCAGTAGCTAGGGGTGATTTATACAGACACTTTACTAACTGAATGTGGAAAAAAAAATGGGAATTGAAAAATGAATGGGAAAGGCTTTGTTCACTGCAGGCAAGGACAGTTTCTTCCACCATTTCATACAGAGGGCCAGGATCATAAATATCTTTAAGCCAGGAGGGACTATTGCGATAATATAATATTGTATTTTAATAACTCTGTCAATAGATAGTCGATGAATAATGGATGCTGAAAGAGCAGTATGGAATATGAAACTGATGATCTCTGCAACTTCCCTATCCCTAGCCTATTGCTTAATTGTGTTTCCTCTTTTTTTCTTTTTTGCCTTCAGAAATCAATGGGACCAAGATATGCCCCACTGCTTTGATCTCTCTTCATGAAGCATCTTCAGATCTTGAAAATGCACCACGTCTTCGCTACCTGCGCCTTGACGGCAATCTGCTGAAGCCGCCAATCCCTTTGGACCTGATGCTGTGTTTCCGACTCTTGCAGTCGGTTATATTTTAAGCCTTGCAGCAATTGCCACTCCTTGGGACTTTGGCTTTGCGCAGTGACTTGATTCCAGTCTATGTTAGACAAGGGGAATGTATCTTGCCATTTCCACCCAGGGCCTTGCCTTTCCTGCTCCACTCCTCTTCTTTCTTCTTTGGCTGCAGGAAGCTCTGTTCTCTGTGGAGCTCTCCATTTTGTGGAGGCTTTGTTCCCCTAGAAGTGTTGCACAGAATCCTTTGAGATATGTGCAGCCTCCACAGAACACTGAGGCGATATTGCAATATTGATCTCTGCTATACTGTCCTTTAATCTATATATTAAAGAGAGAGAGAAGGAACCCTGCATAAAAATGCATCTAGCATGCAGCATTTCTTTTACTGCCTTGCTGTCTTAGAGCTTCAGAGAGAGTTACTGGTTTTCCAACATCACCAAGCATACAAAATAAGTTAGATTTATTATTAGAGGAAGGAAGGCAATATAATTTCATTTAAGCAGATACAGTGTTAAAGTGCCATTGTCTAATGATGCTGAATGAACAGGTGAGGGGTATTCAGACTTAAAGACAGCAATCAAAAAGGCAGCTTCTGTAGCTTTAGCAAGTGTGACCAAAGCATAATGTACATAGCAGGTTGCATACTGTGGAGCTAAGGCAGTATGTGGGAGGTGAAATGAAGAGGGACAGAGAATTTTTTCTCCTGTTAGTGCTCTTTGGGAAGGAAAGTTGATGCAGTTTCACACCGTGGGAACGTAATGAGCAACTAAACCCAGCATGACCTTCAGGACTAGTGATGACATGCTCAGCAGCAGTAAGTTAAAGGACTGCTCCTTCTCCCCTTCACAATTTAACTCCACATAATTTGGCTGCTGGAACTCATAGGCAGTGCTAAAGAGGAACAAAGCAAGTCCAGTACTAGAGAGAAATTGCCACAGAATAGGGTGACATACTTGAACAGGACAGATCCATTATTATCATGATGATTTCAACGGTATCTTCACATCTGATGTTTTTTTCCCCCAAATTGCACCCAAGATCATGTCATTAATCAGTGGAGAAACCTGTACCTCTTCAGGGCCTGTACTGGCTTTCTGTGCATGGTGATTAGCAACCTTAGCAACAGTTGTCCAGACATAATGAAGGACGTTATCCACCCCCCTCTGTTCCACAGTGAAATGAGCTGCCCTCCCAGTATAGTCATGCAAGAGGAGGATCATTAAACCAATAAATAAATGTTAAATTGTACTTGAGAAAACTTTAGCCGTGGCTGGAACCACAGTACCCGTGGCTGATATGCTGTCTACAGTAGCAAAACATGGCACACATATTTAAAAATTAATTGGTATTTTTTACACAGAATCTTGCAAGATCACAGTGTTCGTGCATGAGACCTGACAAGCATTTAGTCATTTTTATTTTTATTTTTTTCATTTTTTAACTGGGGGGATTGTGCAAAATCATATGATGGTACTGAAAATGTTGTTGATCTGTGAGCCATAACAGTGTGCAAGTGACTTACACACAAAGTAATCAAGAAGTATTAGCAGACTCACCCTGTATGGTGTACAGGGGCAAAACTCTCTGTTATGGGAAAGCCAGAAAGGAACTATTCAACACAGTCTTCCCATTTCTTGTGCTATTCTTTGTTTGTGTTATATTTTGAATATACAAAGAATAAAGCAGTTCAGTAAGAAGCTACAAAGTACAGACTAAGTTATCAGGGTTTTTTTTAAAGCATTTGGAGAGCACTAATTCAGATACACACCCAAACAATCTGAGCTCTTTTCCAGGACTCCAGATTATATTATGAAAAACATACAGATCACATAAAAGAAAATGTTTCCGCTTAAGGTTTTTATGAAGGTTCATCTGGGAGCAAAGCCCTCGGGACTCATTGGGAACATTTCTGAGTAAAAATGCAGCAGGTGATCTGTTTTTGAAGGTAGCACTCTGTACAAAAGGTAAAATATCTCTTTCCTTTTTTAAACACAGTAAATTAAATATGTTTTTAACACAATATGTATTTCTACTGGATCAGCAAAACCAAAGACAAGCCAAAACAAAATCACAAGAACCATACTTACATGAACAGTCATCTACCAGAAGATGAATCTGTCCCTTTCCCCCATCCCTGGATGCTCCTTACCCTCCCAGATGGGCCCAAAAGGATTCCTGCACATAAATATGATGCTAGAAAGTGACGTTTGAGTTTAAACCAGTGTTTTTTCAAGTTGCCAAATTTGAAAAACACTGGTTTAAAATAGATCAGTTTCCTGGTTTTTTTTTAAAATTAAACGTTTTCTTTTTCAAAGATAAGAATGGACAGGGAGCCCTGGAATTGCTAAAGAAGGCCACTGGGCACCTTGGTGGCCACAGGTAACAATTCCTGTTCACTACTTCTTTAGTTTCCCATTTCCCCATGAGATCAGTTTGTCTGTTTTGAAGTCAATAATTTGGCGCTCTCTGACTTTCCAGAGAGTCACTTGTCCCTTCCTGAGGCATTATGTCTAGCAGTACACTTGGCAAATTAAAGTGGCTTCACAGCTGGGATTACTGTTGTCGGTTGCACAGTCAGCCAGATGTTTAGACTGGATTTGGCATTTTTATCCATTGATCGAGTCTTTCCCAAGGACCTGGGACAGGCAGATGTCGTTTGGTGGTGATAAAAGTATCATCGCAGGATATAAGCTGTTCCAAGTAAAGCTGCTTTTTGCAACTGACTGATGGGATTTTGTCAATGCTGATGGTGTTCAAGTGGTGCTCCAGACGTTTTGGGGTTGCACCCAAGGTGCCTATTACTATTGGTACTTTCTTTGCCTTCTTTGCCTGCGATCTTTGCCTGCGATCATCTTGCAGCAGCTAACTAGGCGGTCCACTGTTTCTTCAGCTTCTTTGCAGAGGCGGCATTTTCTATTTGTTTGTGTCTTTTCAAATTTTGGTTTTTTTTTATTTTTTT